GCTTAGGGCCTCACTAAATTGCGGAGGCTGCTTTGAACCTGCAATCCTCCTGCCTCAAACTCCTGAGCTGCTGGGATTACAGGTATGGGCCAACCCACCTGGCTAAAAAAATATATTTTTAATAGGCTGCTATGGTTTGGATCTTAAATGTCCCCAAAAAGCTCATGTGTTTACGGCTTGGTGCTCCTGGGAGGTGGTAGAAACTAAGACTGGGGCCTAGTGGGAGGTTTAAGGTCACTGAATACATCCCCTGGAAGAGGCTTATGAGACTCTGGTGTTTTCCTCTTTCTCTTTTTGATTCCCAGCCATGAGATGGGTAGTTTTGCTCCATCACGTGCTCCCACCATGATGTTCCATGGGCCTAAAAGCAATGAGGCCAACAGATTATGGATGGAAACTTCCAAAACTGTGAGCCAGGCTGGGGACATGGCTCAAGTGGCTAGCATGCTCGCCTGGCATGCATGAGGCACTGGGTTCGATCCTCAGCACCACATAAAAATCAAATAAAGATATTGTGTCCACCTAAAAAAATAAAACAAAATTGTGAGCCAAAATAAGCCTTCATTATATCTCTTTCTCTCTGATGGTGCTTGGAATTGAACCCAGGGCCACATGCTAGGCAAGTGCTTTACCACTTAGCTACTTTTTATCCCTAGCCCTTTTTATTTATTTTATTTTATTTTGAGACAATGTCTCATTAAGTTGACAAAGCTGACCTCAAACTTGATATCCTCTGCCTTAGCCTCCAGAGTCATTGGTATTACAGGTGTGTGTCACCATGCCCAGTTTAAGTCCATTTCTTAAGTAACTATTATAATTAGTTTATATATCTATCTCTGAGGATATATATGTGTCTGTATAATTTTTTACAGCTTTGAATTCTTTCCTCTGCAATTTTTCTAAGAACTTGGTTGACCCGAGTATTGGCTCCAAACTTGTATCAGCCCTGTAAGCTTTAAAATTTAAGGTCACAGCCTTAATTAATTCCTTAAATCTCGTTTTTTTGATTCCTCAAAGTAACCAAACATGCATGATCAACTGTGTATTTGCTGCTCCTTGGTGATGGACTCTTTTTATTTATTATTTATTTTAATACCTTTGTTTATTTAGTTTTTTATGTGGTGCTGGGGATGGAACCCAGTGCATGTTAGCCAAACCCTCTACCCCTGAGCTGCATCCCAGCCCTAATAAATATGCTAACAGCTTGTTGACATAATTCATATACTAGAAACAAAGACTAGTCAAATTCTTCATTGTTCCACAGATAATATTCACCCTTTTGCCATATAGGATAATATTCATAGGCTTCAGAAATTAGAAAGTAGATTTTGGGGAGAGGGTCATTATTTAGTCTATCACTCAGGATAATAATGCAATATACCTCATAGGGCTGTGGTAAGTATTGGATTAATACATCTAAAACTTGTACGTAGATAGCCCTCAAAAATGTTGGTCATTATTTTTATTATTCATTTCTATAACATGCCTTTTTTGGTTTTTGGCCATCTCATGTCCAAACATTCTTGTTTTGAGGTAAGTTCTCCTTTGATGGGTCCCGGGAAGATGTAAAAACCCAATTTATTACAGAAGTTGAAGGATTCTCCTTTCCTGTCCCCTATCATCTAGCTCATGGACAAATAATGCAAGCTTGGCCATTTGATGGTCATACCTGTCATAGGGCATCTATAAAGACTCAATTTAATACTATTAGGGGTCAATAGCCAAAGCAATCCTTACCAATAAAAGCCAAGTTGGAGGCATCACAACACCAGACCTTATATTATACTACAGAGATATAGTAACAAAAATGGCATGGCATTGGCACCAAAACAGACACATAGACCAATGGTACAGAACAGAAGACACAGAGACAAATCAACTTAAATACAGTTATCTCATACTAGACAAAGGCACCAAAAACATACATTGGAGAAAAGATAGCCTTTTCAAAAAATGTTGCTGGGAAAACTGGAAATCTATATGTAGCAAAATGAAATTAAATCCCTATCTCTCCCAATCTTGCTCTAAACTCAACTAAAAATGGATCAAGAACTTAGACATTAGACTAGAGATGCTGTGCCTAATAAAATAAAAAGTAGGCCCAAATTTACATCATGTTGGCTTAGGAACTGACTTCTTTAACAAGACTCCTAAAGTGCAGGAAGTAAAATCAAGAATCAATAAATGGGATAGAATCAAATTAAAAAGCTTCTTCTCAGCAAAGGAAACAATCAAGAACATGAAGAGGGAGCTGACATCATGGGAGAAAATCTTTGCCACCTGAACCTCAGATAGAGCATCAAGTTCCAGGCTATATTAAGAATTCAAAAAACTAAACACAGGGAAAACAAATAACCCAATTAATATATGGGCAAAGGAAATGAACAGGCACTTTACAGAAGAAGAAATATGATAAATTCGTCAACAAATATATGAAAAAATGTTCAATATCTCCAGAAGTTAGAGAAATGCATATTAAAACTACACTGAGATTTCATCTCACTCCAGTCAGAATGGCAATAATCAAGAATACAACTAACGGGCTGGGATTGAAGTTCAGTGGTAGAGCACTTGCCTAGCACATGTGAGCACTGAGTTTGATTCCTCAGAACCACATAAAGGTAAAGTGTCATCTACAACTGAATTTTTTTTTTTAAAAAGAATACAAGTAACATTACATCTTGGTGAAAATGCGGGGTGAAAGGTATACTCATACACTACTGGTGGACTGCAAATTGGTGCAACCACTCTGGAAAGCGGTATGGAGATTTCTAAGAAAACTTGGAATGAAACCACCATTTGACCCAGTTATCCCACACCCTGGTTTATACTCAAAGGACTTAAAATCTGTATACTACAATGATGCAGCCACATCAATGTTTATAATAGCTCAATTAACAATAGCTAAACTATGGAACCAACCTAGGTACCCTTCAACAGATGAATGGCTAAAGAAAATGCAGTATATACACATAATGAATATTATTCAGCCATAGAGAAGATTGAAATTATGGTATTTGCCAGAAAATGGATGGAACTGGAGACTATCATGCTAAGTGAAATAAGCCAATCCCAAAAAACCAAAGGCCAAATGTTTTCTCTGATATGTGGGTGCTAACTCACAATAAGGGGGTGGGTAGGGAAGAATACAAGTAGTTTGGATTGGACAAAAGGGCATGAAGGGAAGTGGGGGGAATGGGAATAGGAAAGTTAGTAGAATGGATCAGACATTACTATCCTATGTGCATTTATGATTACATGACCAATGTAATTCTACATAATGTACAACCAAAAGAATGAGAAGTTATACTCCATATGAGTATAATATGTTAAAATACATTCTACTGTCATGTATAACTAATAAGAACAAATTTTAAAAAAATTATTAGGGTGTAAAATGGTGTCAGCTACAGTGTCCAGTGGTAGTGTTGTGATCATACTTTTGGGGGGTGAAGTTTAACCAAGGCTGTCTAGCTTCTTTTGGCCAGACAAATGAATTTCTATTTATTTTCTAATTCTGCTTGTCCTGTTTGTCATGTCTTTCTATGAGCTACTTAATCTCCTGATAATTCTTTTTTTACTTTAGTTATCCACTTTTTGCCTCTGTTGTTGCAACCAACAACCCTGGTTGGCATTCTGTTGGAATTCTAGTGGTCTGCTGTATGTGGTAGTTAATTAGCCATGATTGACTTCTGGATGATGTACCCCCAAAGGAGAGATGTTGAAGATTTGATTAGAATAATTTCATGGGCTGAAAAATGTAAGGAAGATAGAGTTCATTAATTATGCCACCAACAGCAAGAAAGAAAAATCTCTGGTTTAAACTTCCCAATTCAAAGCAAATTTTAAAATTCAATACTATTGTAAAAATACAGCAGGAAGTCCTTTTGCCTGTATCCAGGACTATTGAACTCTTGGTTCAAAAATGTACTGATTTTCATCAAATGCTGCAGGGACAAGTGGATATCCACTTGCAAAACAGTGAAGTTGGACCCCCCTACCTCATACATACACAAAAATTTAGTAAAAATGGATCACAGACTTAAATGTAAGAATTTAAATTATAAAACTCCTAGATAGAAATAGTAGGTAACTTCATAATTTGGGCACAGCGACATGTGTCTATAATCACAGCTAGTTGGGAGCCTGAGGCAGGACAATCACTGAGCCAGGAATTGGGGATCAGCCTAGACAACATAGTGAGACCTCATCTCAGGGAAAATAAAAAGGATATCTTCATGACCTTGGGTTTAAAATGGTTTTATAGATTCATTAAACATATAAGTGAGGGCTAGAATGCAGCTCAGTAGTAAAGCACTTGTCTAGAATGTGCAAGGTCCTGGGTTCAATCCCCAATACTGCCAAAAAATGTGTGTGTATGACAGAAAGAAAACAGATAAGTTGGCCTACCTCAAAAGTAAAACATTTGTGTGTAAACTATACATTAAGAAAGCAAAAAGACAACCCACTATATGGTATAAAATATTTGAAAAAATTTAGCTTATAAGAGATTTGTCCAAATATATAA